TATATATATATATATATATATATGTATATATATATATGTATATATATATTTAAAGAAATCATGCACAAGGGTAAGCGAGATTAACAAGCCTTCAGTTACAGTGTTTGGCAGTAAATCTGGTTCATGTCATGCTAAATTTCTTTTCAGAGTCTGATGGATAAATCTGATTGTCATTTGAATACTCTCTTGGCATTTGAAAATAGAGATGAAAAGCATTTGCTACTGGTACCACCTAGCAAACTGGAAGAAATGAAGAGACGGTTTGTAACATTACTATTTTACAGCTATTGATACCATTCATATTTGAGCACTAACAGCTTGCTATAACCCAGAGAACCAAACCTGTTGTTGTTAAGTCGATTCCAACTCATAGCGACTCTATAGGACAGAGTAGAACAGCCTCATAGGGTTTCCAAGGAATGGCTGGTGGATTCGAACTGCTGACGTTTTGGTTAGCAGCCGAGCTCTTAACCACTGCTCCACCAGGGGTCCAACATGGTGCTATAGGGACCACAAAATAGAGATTTTTAGATAATTTGTGACAAACCTATCGCTGCCGAGTTTATTCTGACTCATAGCGACCCTATAGGGGAAGGTAGAACTGCCTCATAGGGTTTCCAAGGAGCAGCTAGTGGATTTGAACTGCTGACCTTTTGGTTAACAGCCTGAACTCTTAACCACTGGGCTAGCAGGACTCCAATTTATGACAAGTATTCTTTAAATCTTGATAACAATACCTTCATGTTTTACGTAAAAAAAAAAACAAAAAAAAAACCCGTTGCCATCGAGTCGATTCCGACTCAGTGACCCTATAGAACAGAGTAGAACTTCCCTATAGGGTTTCCAAGGAGTGCCTGGTGGATCTGAACTGCTGACCTTTTGGTTAGCAGCCATAGCCCTTAACCACTATTCCAAGGGGTTTCCGTTTTATGTAATAGTGACATTGTATCATGCTAACATAATTCCTTTTTTATTGAATGGTAGAATAGGGTAGTGGACAAAGTTCTGGAATTGGAGTCAGAAGCTGAGCTCAGTGTCTTGGTTTTGACCAGGTTACTGTCTTTCTGACCATGTTAGCTCACTTGTAAATAAAGGATAATGATAATCATGCTGCCCATGTCTCATAAGGATACCGGGTCAAATGGGAGAAGGTATATGAAAGCACTTTATAAACTGTAAAACATTATAAATATAGGGTTATTTAATTATTGGTTATCTACATCATTTCTTTTCTCATTATTTATAAACAACTTGTTAGAATGGTAATATGAGGTGTTAACCTCAATAATGAAAATTATTTTAATATGTAAAATTGGAATTCTAATTGTATAAAGTTATACAGAAATTTTCCCAAATTTAGTAAAATATTTTGGTGATCAACGTTTTATTACAAGGTTTTGCAATTGGAAAATAGTCTCTCCAGAAAATGTTCTATGTTCAGTGTTTTCGGCTTAGAAACAGTTGTTTTATATTTAGCTGCAATGCTTGTTTTACTTTGTTTAAAAAAGAAAAAAGACTTGAGGATGCATCTGAGTTCCACGTGTTTAAAAGAAAAAGTTAAGAGCCTCAGTATTTTTTAAAATGCCAAATGAGTATCTCACATTTGGTCAATAATATTAAGTTAAATTCTAAAATCTATACTATTTTCCAGGATCAACAACATTGTAGGGAAAAAATGCATTCCAGGTCTAGAAATTCATTACTCTATGTGCCCAGTTCTTGGTTTGTTAAATGAAATGAAATCAAAATTCGATGTTTGGAACGTCAAATATGGGAGCAAAGAATCTGTGGAATTACTGCTGGAAGACTTGGATGTAAGCTGTTTTATTTTGTGTCTTGGGCAACTGTTGTCCATGTCTGGGTGCTGGGTTTACACTTCTCCTTGGTATGATTTCCCATTACCTCTTCCGGTTTTCAGATGAGTTTTCGTGGTAGCTTTCATTAGCTTAAATACTGCTTGGAGAAAATAATTGCCAGTAGTCAAATAACAGGCATCAGTGAAAAGTAAGAAAGAATGATAATCACCCTGCCCATGTCTCACAAGAATATCGGGTGAAATGGGAGAAGGTGTGTGAAAGCACTTTATTTGCTCACCCCAGGGAACATTAAGACATAGCCAGGCTAATCAGTGTAATAGTTGGAAAAGGTTTTAATGTTATTTCAGTTAAAAATTACTACTTTCACTTACTTGCAGTCCTCTTTAATATATTTTTTTCTACTCAGATTCAGGGTCTTAATCAAATTAAGCTATTATTAGAACATTTTAATCATAGTCTTCCCTAGGTTTTACGAACAGGAAAAACAATTCATTTGTGTTTCGTGTTAAGGCTTTTTTCTTCAGCTTTCGCTCTTCCAATTTATAGAAAAAAAAATGTTGCAAATGATTTAAATATAAATATGTTCACTTCTAAACTAAAACTAAAGCATCATAAGAATGTCATTTCTATAGTTAGGGCTTGTATCTTTTTTTCTGTTTCCTTCTTTTTGGAAATGAGGAAGAAAACACAAATCCAAGGTTACAAATTTTAATAAAAAATTGAAAAACATAATGAAGAGGAATTTATTTACAATTTATGATTTAAACACTGTACATTCCCAAACTAGAAGCATCATTCTGAACTAGACTAAATTTTGAATATTTTTATTTCTTTTGCCTTTGATGTTTTTTCATTTTTCCTCTTTAATGTTTAATATCATTGGCACATAGTAAGTATATAATAAATATGAGTGTTGAATTAACTCAGTGTTTTTCCATAGCAGGATTTGCTTGCATAGGACACATCATAATTTGGTTAATGGTAGTTTCTCAAATGTTTTTGTGTGGTTGATGATATACATTTATGAATACTCTAGCTAATTAAAAATACTCAAAATTAATTAAATATATGAGGAGCAGTAGTTAAAAATTATGTAAATTAATAAAATATGTGAAGAACAAGATTTTGAAATTGCTATAAATACTTAACTTTCCTTTTTCCAAGAGAGGCAGACCATTGTAGAACCATGTCACTGCATTAAGATAAACTTTGTCAGGTCTCATGCATGTATATTATTCATATTTACACTTACATCTCATACCTTCTAGACTTTAACTACCCTTCTTCATGAGCCATTCTTTTTCCTCATTTCCTACCCAAATATATAGTATTAAAGCCCTAAAGAAATCTTAGCACTTAAGTGCTTCATCAATGTTTGTATGTCAGCTATCTGTATTTCTTGGCACATTTTAAAATACAAAAACTCTCAATATGCTTTATTTTTCTCTCCCCTACACCCCAGAAATTTATTGAAGAAAAAGAGTTTCTAGCTCAACTTGAAGCTTCTTTTCAAAAATGTGAAGAAATGAATCAGAATTTGGGTAAAGCAATAGTTACTTTTCTTTTTTTATTATTGTGCTTTAAAAAGTGAAAGTTTACAATAAAAGTTAGTCTCTCATATAAAAATGTATGCATACATTGTTATGTGACCCTAGTTACTTTCCCTATACTGTGACAGCACACTTCTCCTTTCCACCACTGATTTCCCATGTTCACTCAACCAGCTCCTGACCCTCTCTGGCTTCTCTTCTTGCCTCTGAACAGGAGCTGCCCATTTAGTCTCATGTATCTACTTGAGCTAAGAAGCATACTCTTCATGAGTATCATTTTATGTCCCACAGTCCAGACTAATCTTTGTCTGAAGAGTTGGCCTTGGGAATGGTTTTAGTTTTGGGCTAACAGAGAGTCCAGGGGCCATGTCTTCTGGGGTCCCTCCAGTCTCAATCAAACCATTAAGACTAGTCTTTTTACTAGAATTGGAGTTCTGCGCCCCACTTTTCTCCTACTCTGTCAGGGTCTCTTTGTTGTGTTCCCTGTCAGGGCGGTCATTGGTGAATAGTTACTTTTTGATGGAATGGCTATCACTTGAAAATAACATTTCATCTGTTGTGCTATATTTATACCTTAATGTTTTAGAAATTAGTTTTACATGTATTTTTTCTTAGAAAAGCCTTGCTTTCACTTTTAATATTGCCACTGCAAGAATTTTACCACTGTCAGTTAATATGTTAATATTTTTCTTAACAGTGTTATTTTATTAATAAACAACTGTGTTCTAAGATTACTTTCTTGTTTTGTTAACATTGTAGCTGGAGACTGTCAGAATATTAGTAAGCAATCTATGATGGTGGATTATAATATTTGTATATATAGAAAATATATATATACTGTGAAGTCCACTCTACAAAAAGTTCTGGCATGTTGGGCTACTTACGTGGAACACCTTCGCTTACTAAAGGCTTGTTTTGAGGAGACAAAGAAAGAACAAATTAAAGAGGTATTTATTTTCTAATGGCACCTGCTCAATTTTACTATTTTTTTCCTGTTTTGTTTGGAGACCCTCATTTTTCAATCCAAAGATGAGAGGTGAGGAAAGAATAAGCATGTGTGTAGGAAAATTCTCCAAGGTCTTGGAGAGAGTTTGATTTCCTCGCAATATAATTGCCTATAGGAAGTTTCTCCTCATTATAGATTTCACACACATACACTTTTACTGAGGAACACACTTATATATTCAGTACAGTTTTTGGAAGATATATTGCTAAGCCCTTTGGAGAGGAAATAAAAGAAGTGGAGGACTGGATAGCTTATAGACAAATTTAAAACAACCCGATCTTTTTAAAAGTTTTATTTTTTCCATTTTGCTGAAGATGTTCAGCTTTAAGTTTCTAGAGGGGAAAAAAACAAATACCTTATACTTACGTGGAGAGGTGTGGAAGAAGTACCATTGCAATTTGTTATTGTTCTCATTTGCTATTCGTATAATCTGTTCTATGATTATTCTCTGGGGTAATTTTTTTTTCTTTAATTTGTTTGTCTCTGTTGCAAATGGATATAGACAGCCTTTTAGATTAAGCATTTTCCAAATAAAACTAAAATTACTCAGTAGAAAATAGACTTTGTAGGAAAGTAAAATTTGTGATAAATGAATGCAAAAAAAAAAGTTCTATGGGCTAGTGATTTTATCACTTCTTCCTGTCTCCTGTATTGATACTAGAAATTCAAACTTGTTTTTAAAGAACGGGTCTTCTGCCTTTAAAAGTCTTCTATTAAAATACACATAACTTTGAGAAAAATAACACTTTAAGCCCGTAATTCCCACTTGGTACTGTACCTGGGCTGCCAAAGACAACTTGCAGGAAACTTTAAATTTTGGGGGAGACATGGCAACATCTATCTGTTGAACATCATGCAAACTACTACTATTAATTTTTTGGATCTAATTACTTAATAAAGGGAACTGTTAGAATTCTCTGGCCTAGGGACACTGTGAAAAAATTACTGAGACATGAAGGGCCCTGTGAATTGAAAAAGTTTGGGAACCTCTGCTGTAAGCTCATCAGCCACGTAGAAAGATAGATCAGATGCTTTCTAAAAGCCCAGGCCCATGAGTGATGACAGCTGTGTGGCACTTGCCATTTGACAATGAGGGATGACGAGGTAGATCCACAGGGACAGGGAAATCCTCTGAGGAGAGAGAGGCTCAAAGTCTCTGCAGAAACCTCCGCACTCTTGCTTAGTATTAACCTTAGTGAAGATCTGCTATGAATAATAGTAAGGCAAGTATTATGTCATTAATACATTATGTTGCTTATTTGTTATGTAGGTTCCCGTTGAGACACTATCCCAGTGGAATCAAGAGCATACCACTTTAAATGAAGTGGGAAATTTCTTAATTGAAGTCAGTAATGATGAAGTTGGATCATCTATTTCTAAAGAACTGAGAAGACTGAATAAAAGATGGAGAAAGTTTATTACAAAAACTCAGCTTGTAAGTTCTTTTTTGTTTTTTGTAACAGCTGTATTGAGATATAATTCACATACCATACAATTCACTCATTTAAAGTATACAATTGTGTGTTTTTTAGTATGTTCACAGAGTTGTGTAACCATGACGATGATCAATTTTAGAACAATTTTTTCACTCCAGAAGGAAACGTTGTACCCTTTAACAATTACCTCTTATTACCCCTAACACTCCCTGAGCCTAGGCAAGCACTGATCTGCTTTCTGTCTATATAGATTTGCCTATTCTAGACTTTTCATATAAATAGAATCATAAAATATGCAGTCTTTTATGACTGACTTCTTTCACTTAGATAATGTTCTCAAGGTTCATTCATGCTGTGGCATGTATCAATATTTCATTCGTTTTTATTGCAAACTAATATTCCGTTGTATGCATATACCATGTGTTTATCCATTCATCAGTTGGTGGGCATTTGGGTTGTTTACACCTTTTGGCTATTATGAATAATGCTGCTATGAACTTTTGTGTACAAGTTTCTTTGTGGACATATGTTTTCATTTCTCTTGGATATATACTTAGGAGAGTTTGTAAGTCCTTGAACCCTTTGTAATCTACAGTATTCTAGTTGAAATTCACTTACTATTAAAGAATAACGTAAGCATTATTTTGCATACCAGATTTCAAGCTTTGTGAGAACACAGACTGACCCTTATTTATCTTTACATTTAGCACAGGGTCACATAAAAGCAGACCTTTCATTAATATTTTTAAAATTTAAATTATTCTATTTCTTATTCTTAGCAATTTGAGACATAGGTGTTTTTATGGAAGATGTTACATTTTATGACATTCTTACTAATGAATAACTCCTAAAAGTATATTTGAATATGTCAACTTATTGTTTGTAAAATATATTACCATAAAAATAAAAGCATTGAATTTCATGTAATTAATTTTTCACAGGAAATGAATCTGCCACTTACAAAAAAACAGAGTCAGCCCATTCTTGACAGTTCTGGAAATATTCAGCTAACTGAAGAAGAGAAATCAACTATTGATTTTTCAACAGACGTGTCAATAAAACCACCTGAAAATCATAATCCAAATTTAAGGGTAAAATAGTTATGTTTTGTGTATTTAATAATCTAACTTTGCTTTGTTTTTTCCATGAGGAGCCCTGGTAGTGCAGTGGTTAAGCGTTTGACTGCTAACCAGAAGGTCAAGGGTTCAAACCCACTAGCTGCTCCATGGGAGAGAGATCTGGCAATCTGCTTCCATAAAGATTTACAGCCTTGTAAACCCTATGGGGCAGTTCTCCTTTACCCTATAGGGTTGCTATGAGTAAGAATTGCCTCTATGGCAATGGGTTATTTTTCTTCTTATAAAACCATATTGTTGAAAACATTGGTAAATGTGTGGATTAATAAATAACATTTAAAGTATGATCTTTTTTCCAGGAAAATGTTGGAGTGGTTCCCTTCATAAATTAGTATTTAGCATTGAAGTTCCTGTGTCTGTCTATGACTGGCTCAGCTGTGGCTCTGTTCCAGACTTGCAGAAGCTTTCTGAGCTGTGAACATTGAGTTGAGATTTTTTTCACATTATTTTTGGCTAGTACTCAGAAATTATCTAAACTGTGGCAAGCCCCTGGCCTCTTTGTGTCTTGCTTTGTTTTTGTAAAATGAACAAAAAACTAACCTTTTTTCCTTGCCTTTTTGGGTAATTGGGAGGATGACTTTAGATTATAAATAAGAATATGGAAAAGAAACAAAAATAAATTAAAAACCATACGCATAGAAGGTCTAATTTGTATGGGTTTGCTACTGTATCTCTTTCAGAATAACAATTCACACAGCTTTATTTAAGAAGGTAATTGTTAACTGGCTTTGGCCATTTGCCCTGATGGAGTGCAGGTGTTTTCCTGCCATAACCCACCAGTTGCCATTGAGTCAACTATGATCCCATTTTTTGGAAGTAGATTGCCAGGCTTTTCTTCCATGGCACCTCTGGGTAGCCTCAAACCTCCAACCTTTTGGTTAGCAACCAAGGACATTAATTGTTTACACTACCCAGGGACTCCTTTCCTACCATAAGCAGACTTAATCAGTTAAAATCTGGAAAGATCTGTGTCTTAGACTCTTAGTGCTGCTATAACAAAACATCATAAGTGGGTGGCTTTAACGAACAGAAATTTATTTTCTCACAATTTAAGAGGCTAAAAGTTCTAATTCATGGTACTGGCTCTAGGAGGAAGGCTTTCTCTTTGTTGGCTCTGGGAGAAAATCCTTGTCTCAGCTTCTCTAGCCAGCCACCCTTAGAGTTCCTGGGCTTGTAGCCTGGTCTGCCTCCATCATCTTTAGATAGTGTCTGTCTTCCTGGTGTCTACTTTCTTCTGTGCCGAATCTGCTCTTTTATATCTCAGCGTAACTGGTTTAAGGCATGCCCTGCATTGATATGGCCTCATTAACATAACAAAGAAAACCCCATTTCCAAATGGGATTACACCCACAGTTATAGGGATTAAGAATTACAACACATATTTTGGGGGGACAAAATTCAATGCACAATAATCTGAATTTGTGCATTATGTTTTGAAATACTATATTCTTCTGATGTATTTAAAATATGATCTAATTTAAAACAACTTTGAGAACGTATCTGCCAGGTAAAGCTGTAGTGTGTACACCTGTAGAATGCTGAGAGATTATTAATGGGAAAAGGTTGAATTTGATCCTGAATCTCTTCTTGATGTTTCACTACTGTTGATAACAGCTGTATTTGAATTAAATGGGATGTGAGTTTTTAGAAATGTGTTTATAGAGCCTATACCCTGATTTTAATAAGCTTTAGTCTTCATGTCTACGAAATGGAGGTAATAGTATCTGATAGGAATGATATTATAGTTAAGAAAATATATGTAGACGAACCTTTTAATCTGTAAAGTGATAAACACTCTGGTAAAGTATTATCATTGTCCACTAACTAGGTCTCAGATCATTAAAATATGTTGAATTAGCAGTCTTCAGGGAAGAATTTTAAATTCTTTAAATGGAAAATAATTTTATAATGTAAATGTTACCATTTTCTTAGTGGTAATTTTGAATGTTGTAGGCTGGAGAGGAACATGAAAAAGAAAATGAAGAATTAACAGAGCAACTAAAACTGGTTGAAGAGGTTGAAAAACTCATTGGACAAGTGGGAATCTGGGAGGCAGAAACCATATCTGTTTTGGATCTTCTGAGACATCAAGATGATGTGGATACCTCAGTGAAAGATTCTTTGCAGGTATGAGTGTAAAAGTATGAAGGGGGTGTGAAGGGTGAGACAGTACACAATACAGGGGAAACTAGCACAGCCTGTACAAGGAAAGATCATGGAAGCCCCATAGACACATCCAAACTCCCTGAGGGACTGAATTGCTGGGCAGAGGGCTCTGGGGACCATGGTCTCGGGGAACATCTAGGTCAATTGGCATGACACAGCCTATAAAGACAATGCTCTACATTCTACCTTGGTGAGTAGTGTCTGGGGTCTTAAAAGCCTGTGAACAGCCATCTAAGATACTCCACTGGTCTCATCCCTTCGGGAGCAAGGGAGAATGAAGAGAACAGGATATAAGGAAAAGATTAGTCCAAAGGACTAATTGTCCACAGCTACCAAGGCCTCCACCGGACTGAGTCCAGTACAGCTAGATGGTGCCCGGCTACCACCACTGACTGCTCTGACCAGGATCACAACAGAGGGTTCTCGACAGAGCTGGAGAAGGATGTAGAGCATAATTCTAACTCACAAAAGAAAGACCAGATTTACTGGCCTAAAGGAGACTGGAGAAACCTCGAGAGTATGGCCCCCAAACGCCCTTTTAGCTCAGTGGTGAAGTTACCTCTGAGGTTCACTGTTCAGCCTGGGAGTGGACAGCCCCGTAAAACCAAATGAGACTAACGAGGTACAGGAGTCCAGTGACAAGGGCCAGAAGGCAGAAGGGGACAAGAAAGCTGGTGATAGGGAACCCAAGGTTGAGTAAGGATATTGTTGATGTGTTGTGAGATTGTTAACCATTGTCATAGGGCAACATTTGTAGGAAGTGTTAAATGAGAAACTATTTTGTTCTGTAAGCCTTCATCTTAAGTGAGAATAACAGCACAATTGGAAGAGCGTAGTCAATGTCACTGAACTGTGCATGTAGAAATTTTTGAAATGGTGTAACTTTGGCTATGTGTATTTTCACCAAAAAAAACGGTTGAGAAGTTAGAGGGTTAATATTTTGTGGGGTTGTTAACCAATGTCATAAAACAACATGTGTACTACTGTTTCATGAGAAACTATTCGTTCTGTAAGCCTTCACCTGAAGTACAATAAAATATATTAAAAAAAAAAAGTATGAAGGGGATAGTTTATGGTTGTGGATTTATGTTTTCACATAAATAAAAAGTTTAAAAGTAAATAGCAGTAAGCCTACAGTTTAAATTTTCCTTGTTGGAAGTTTTAAAGATGGCATGGTCTCCCATCCCTGGATCATTTTCTGTGATTTTGCTTGAAGACCGAAAGGTAGATGAGAAGACCATTAATACCTTATGACTCTAAGCTCTTGAACTAATCTCCCCAGCTAGAGAATGGGAATTTAAATATTTTCTTGCATCAGAGGGCAATGAGGAGATGAATAAGTGAGTTCCGTCTCATATAGCTCAGTGCTGTGTGGATATCAGAGATTAGACAATCTGTACTTTGAAAGCTCACCCACTGATTAAGCCACTCTTCCCTCCTTATGTGATGGGAGGAGGGTGACTGATGTTCTCAGAGCTCTTATTCTCAGCCAGTCAACTGATTGAAAAACAGTGAGGCAAGAGTGTGTTTTCATATCCTGCAGTTCTCCTGGGAAAGAAGTTACAGTTGAGATTGTTTTTATTATTATTTTAAAAATATTTTATAAACTTATCTTGTCAGCTCCAGTACTTTTCTAATTTTACTTTTGATGTATGTTACGAACTCCTCCAGAAGGTTTTCTTTACAATGAGGAACCCTGATGGTGCCGTGCTTAATCACTCTGCTGCTAGCCAAAAGGTTGACAGTTCAAATCCGCTAGCCCCTATGAGGGAAAAAGATGTGCCAGTCTGCTTCCGTAAAGATTTACAGCCTTTGAAACCCACTGGGGTGGTTCTACTCTGTCCTGTAGGGTCTCTGTGAGTCAGAATTGACTCGATGGCAGTGGATTTGGTTTGGTTTTGGTTTTGATCTTTATGGGAGCAGATCACCAGGTCTTTCTCCCTCAGAGCTGCGGGGTGGGTTTGAACTGCCAACCTTTTGGTGCTGCAGCTGAGTCCTTAACCATTGCACTAGGGCTCTTTCCTGGTACATAGTAGGCATAAAATAAACATTTTTTAAATTTTTTTAATGAACGTATGAATAATTGAATGAGAATTGGGAAAGATGGGGAAAAAAGGAAACTTTTCTTTACGTGTTATACCTTTCTATTTTGGTTAGAGTGCTTTTACATGAGCTGAAATTAAAGAACGTGGTTATTTCAGAAAATTTTAAAAATGCAGAAGAGTATAAAGAAGAAAATAAAAATCACCACAATCCAACTGCCCTAAGATAAATAATGTCAACAATTTACATATTTTATGTCACATAATATAATTTCTATGTCACCATACCTATGTCATCCTTGAGTTATAATTTTTAAAAAAATTTGCTAACTTTATAGCTGAAAACTGGTATCACATTATTATTTTAATTTTCACTTCTTTAATCACGTGTAAGATAGAGCTGTCTTTCATATATTTGTTAGTCATTTGTTTCTATGGATTATCTGTTCTTATATTTTCTGAATTTTCTTCGCGGTCTTAGGTTTTTTATTGAATTATATGAGCTTTTGATCTAGATCCATTTTGGTTTCTGTGGCTACTAGTTTTGCCAAGTTGTGTTTTTAGATTTCATAGAAGGATTTTATGTAGTCCTTTCTCTCTACTCTTATGCCTAAAAAGGCCTTCCACAAGATCCAGGGAGCAGATCCATTTTCTCTTTTTTTTTTTTTGGTTTTATATTATGTATATATGGTTCTGATCCATCTGGAATTTATTTATTTATTTGTTCATTGTATAAAGTATGGCTATAAAAAGAGTATTTTCTGATAGCCATTTTCTCTAGTAACATTATTTGAATTGTCTTCCCCACTAATTTGACTTAGAACTTCATTTTAAGAGTTATTACTACCCTCTCAACTTATTTTCTTTCTCTTGGCATTGTATTACTTTCCAGTATTTATTTTATTGAAGTACTTACTATATAAAGAACACTCTATAAAAGAGCATGCTACTCAGAATCTGATTACATTAATATAAAACTTCTAAAGGAACCTTAAAAATAACATTTCTCAGAATGCAGATTTCTCTTATATAATCAGAATGTTTATGGCGATCTTGCTTCAATTTGTTTTAATAGCATCTTATTGCCAAAGGATCAATGTATGAAGAGCTTGTGGCTAGAACTGAAGGTACTTTACAAATGGATGTACAAAATATTTCAAGCCAGGAGTCCCTTCAGCATGTTCTCACAGCTGGGCTTCAGGCAAAAATTCAAGAAGCTAAAGAGAAAATCCAGGTCTGTCTTTAATATTTCGTATTTGGTGACTTTATTCTTTAAAATTGAATGGTCAGTGGGAGGACAGGGAAGGGGAGATGGCACAGTAGTTTGCTTGGAAATGTTTTGTAAAATATTATTTTTGCATTATAACTTCTCTATAATTTAGAACATATTGGAAAATATAAATATACTAAATGGAATATTCTTATGTCTAGTGGGAAAATATGAGTTGCTACTGAAAGAAAATGTTCTTTGACTTATCAGTTTCCTAAGAAGTTGGGCCAAGTGTTAAGTGAGAATTTTTTGTCTTTGCAGATCAATATGATAAAACTAGTTGCTGTACTGAAGAACTCAACTGATGTTTCACCAGAATTGGATGTCAAGCTAAAGGTGGAAGAATCACAGAAGGAACTTGAATCATACGTTACTAGGGCTGAGCAATTACTTGGGCAAAGAGAGAGCCACAGTGGACTAATTTCAAAATATAAGGTAGAAATCTTTTCAGCCATCAAACGTAGGATGTTTATCATCAGCTACCTATCTCATTTCCAATCAAGATATTTCTATCACAGCAATTATATAACAAAATTACTATAACTTCTAAAAATGCCCCAGTATTACATATTGTTCCCCTGAGACTGTTGTTAAAAATAGACATTCAAATGAAGAATTTTTATTTTAATTCAAATTTTATGATAGACCTACTGGATGTACTCAGTGATGGAGGGTAAAAAGCACAGCTGACTGTGACATTGAGGAAGCATTTCATTTCTCTGGCTTCTTTATTTGTAAAATGTGCCTAATAATTCTAGCCATATCCAGCTGCCAGATTTGTCAGGCTTTAAATGAAAATAAAATATGTGAAGGCACTTTGAATAGTTAAAAATTCTGTGAATGTGAAATAATATTATTATTAAAATGCTTTGATAAAGGTTATTTATGGACACTGTCTTAATTATCTAGCGCTGCTATAAGAGAAATACCACAGTGGGTGGCTTTAACAAACGGAAATGTATTTTTTCACATTTTAGGAGCCTAGAAGTTCCAGTTCAGGGTGCCAGCTCTAGGGGAAGGCTTTCTTTCTCTGTCGGCTCTGGAAGAAGGTCCTTGTCTCTCCTGAGCTTCTGCTCCTGGGCAGTCTTCATGTGGCTTGGCATCTCTCTTCCTGCTTCTCAGCTTCCTAACTTGCTTAGTTAATCTGCTGGTGGGTTCAAACTGCCAACCTTTTGGTTAGCAGCTGAGGGCTTTAACCACTGTGCCACCAGGGCTCCAGCCACAGGCATAGGGGTTAGAATTTACAACAATATTTTTTGGGGGCACAGTTCAATCCATAACAGATATGTACTTGTCTGTTGCTAAGGTCTCGACTATGTTTTTGTATGGTGACAGTTGCAGGTTAATTATTCCTGGCTTTGATAGGCAGTTATTGCAGCAGCTTAAGATATAAGCAAACCAGAGACTCACTATCAGTTAACACTGTAGGAAGTACTTGAGGGGATATGAAGCAAAGATAAAACCAGGGAGCCCTGGGAGTGCAGTGGTTAAGAGCTGTGGGCTGCTAACCAGAAAGGTCAGCAGTTCGGATCCACAGCCGCTCCTTGGAAACCCTATGGGGAAGTTCTACTCTGTCCTATAGGGTGGCTATGAATTGGAATCAGCTCAACAGCAGTGAGTTTATGGGTATCCTTGGTGCAGCCACCACCCATCTGCCAGTGGAGGCTTTCGTGTTGCTATGACACTGAACATGTTTCAGTGGAGCTTCCAGACTAAGATAGACTAGGAAGAAAGGTCTGGCTATCTACTTCTGAAAATCAACCAGTGAGAACCCTATGGATCACAACAGACCAGTCCTGTTGTGCCTGGTGTTACCACGAGTTCAAGGCTGACTCGATAGCAGCTAACAATGACAACCCCTGGTTACAGTGTAGAGTGAAACATATTCTTTTGTTTATTCATTTGCTCACCATTTGACACACTTATTGACCATTTAAAATGAGCTAGACATTTTGGAGAAGAAAAAGATGAAGTAAGGCAACAACCCCACCCTGCTGCTCCCACTTTCTTGCTAACAGGGTGCTCTATTCACTCTCATCATGCCCTCCATCTCTCTTCTGGGCCTCAACTCAATTTTGACTTTCTGGATTGTTAACCATACTGGATGGTTAGCCAGTGGTTCTCCCACGACTTTAAAAGCCCTCACCTGATTGATCTTATGCTTTTTGTACTTTGCTAGCCGCCAGCTTTGACCAACTCCCATGTCTTCTTTTCCCACTCTTATGCCCAGGTTGCTGAGCATGCTGGATGGACTTTACAGTCAGTGGTCTTTGAAATAATAGCTAGGCTGGATTTTGGGAGGGCAGATATGGTCCGTCCAGGAAGGAGAGCAGGGGGAAAAGAAAGGAGACTCGTAGCCTCCTTCTGTATGGCAGAGTTGGAGATACCAGTTCTTGAAATGCTTTGCTCTCCTTGACCATTTTGTTTTGAAATCTGAAGGCCAGGGATTCCCCATTTTTGTCTCTGGCATTTAGTGAAGTGGAAACACTTTTACAGAAGAAACAAGATTCCTGCCTTGCCAGGTTATTTCCCTGAAACCCATGTGACTCTAGGGACACATGGGCAGTGGGAGCTTCCTGCCAGCATATAGGGTTAAGATGGCTCCCTAGGCCATAAATTTGGCAACCTGCAAAGAGGCCTTGAGAAGGTCCTAGGGCTCAGTGTTGTCTCTTTTCTGCAGCAGGCCCATAATAAACACGTGTTGTTAGGTGCCGTTGAGTCGGTTCCAACTCATAGCGACCCCATGTACAACAGAAGGAAACATTGCTGGTCCTGTGCCATCTTCACAGTCATGTTATGTTTGAGCCCATTGTTGCAGCCACTGTGTCATTCCATCTTGTTGAGGGTCTTCCTCTTTTTCATTGACCCTCTGCTCTACCAAGCATGATGTCCTTCTCCATGTAGTGAGTGAATAAATGAATTTCCACCCTACTTAATTGCCCCAGAATTACTTTTATCTTTTCATTTTCTATAGTTTTTCTGTCTCTTTTATATGCCTTGACCTGTTTTTTATTTTCTCATTGACTAGATAGCTAGGTTTCTGCTTTTATAGAGTACTGCCAGGTAAGGAGCAGACACATTACTGGCAAGGTACTCCTATCCCTTTCTATTGCTGCTCCTTCCCTGGAGTGGGACTTCCAATGTGGTTGGCACTGGGCACACCTTTGAAGTTGATGATAAGGTAATGTTGCCTCCTTGCAGCATAGTAATGTTTATGCACATCACTGCATACAGTGTTTGTCATGCTAACCTTATTATGAATTTTGTCTTATGGCAACACTAATCTCCAATACATGCTGGTAAGCTCTTCGTATCATATTGCTTGTGAAGCATGGCTGGTGTCTGCTCATTACTTATGAACTTTAGAGAAAATGTTGCCAGTAGGTCATTACCCTGCATGATAATTTTCAAATTACTTACCAAAAGGGTAGCAAAAATTGTTTTGAATATCATGAAGAGGTCTTTATCTGGGCTTCAAATGTGTAACTACTATTTGAATAATAGATATTTTATATTTCTCTTAAAAAATAATTCAAGAAATGCAAAAGGGATGTCAGCCTCAATTTACAAAGAGGTGTCTCCCCTAAATCCTCAAATAGCCTCCAGAGAAGCCCTTCCTAGTTCTAGTTGTTAAAGACCTACAGTAATTAACTCTGAGGATTTGATGGTAGAATGAGGTTTCCATACTCTTGTCTCCTTTTTTTTAGGAAGCACTGATAATTTTTAATTCTGTAAGTCTTACCAAGTATTTGAAAGCTGTTGAAGAACTGAAAAATAATGTAACTGAGGATGTAAAGCAGTCTTTGGAAGAAAGGAGTAGAGATGCCTGTGCCAACTGGGAGGTAAGAACATGCATATGTATCTGAAGTGGCATCACTAGGGTTGGTGTCACTCTGTGCAGTAACTCATGGTATCACCCCACCCACACCCATGGACCTCCTCCTGTACCAGACCATACAGAATCCTTAGTAATGTGTTTTGTACTATTGTTACTTGTAAATCGTAATTCCCGTATATCACTTTCTTTTCCTTTAAGTACTACTTCATTCTCAGAAGTTATTGCTATAGGTTCACAAATACTAATTACCACAATATTGTAGCGAACATACATGAAAATCAGTGACTATAAAAACACCGGCAGCAATGAAAACAACAGTGCGTGCTTACGTTGTGTGCGGATGAAAAACCACGTGATTCGAGGCGCCATTGTAATTGGGTGATAATGACAGCTCTGACTGTAGTGCATTAGAACGTTCAAAAAATAAATTAGCATAGAGTTTTAGCCTTGTAGGTATATTGATACTTGTAAAACTGGGCTTACAATAAAATGTTTTTGTTGTTATAACTGTCTACAGGGATATTTTTATAGACAGGCATTTTGGTATCACCCCCTCTGACAGTGTTACTTGGTATGGACCATCCCGTCCCCCCACCCCACCCCCCACCCCCTCCTAGTAACACCACTGTGTACCTGGGACGTATGCTTATAGGTCTGATCCTGGGCCTGTTTGTCGTCAGGGTCATTCCTGGTATTGTCATTGCCCCTTCTCCACCTACTCTGTATCCCAGAGGAGCTGAGTCTCGCAGGCTGGGATTTCCAGGCTCCCACATCATCTGGCTTCTGTTGTAGTTCAGCCAATGACAACAGTCTTAGGAAATTAGAGGGAGATTTGAGGTGGGGAGAAATGACAAGGCTAAAGAATTTCTCTCAACTTCTGTCTCCGGGGCAATGTCTCAGGTGGGAGCTGTCTCTCCCCCTGGCTCCAGCTCCTGTAAAACAGACTTGCCATGATTCCAGCTTCTGATGGGTGACCCTTCTCCTTGAGCTCCACTGAGACCCTCTAGTGCAGGGGTGGTAGCAGATTCCTGCTGTTACTAATCTCTGGATTGCCTTCCCGTTCCCTGGTTGGCATCTCTCCTCTTTCATCTCTTGTGTAATCAGTTCCCAGCTTTTGATTCCTTCTGCTTAGATGCTTAGAGTGTTTTCTGTTTTCCTGCTTGGATATGACTGAGATAACATATTACCCTATCTACACACACAGAATTTCATAGTGAAATAGGTATAGTATTTGGTATCAGGCAAACAGGGATTCAGCAACTATGACACTGGCCAAGTTACTTAACTTCTAGGAGCCTTACTGATAAAGTGGATATAACACTACCCACTTGGCAGTATTGTTGTAGGATTAATGATGATTTATAGGAACGCCTGTCACAGAGATTATGTTCAGTAAATGGTAATTATTATTAAATTTAATATGTGTGTATATATGTATGTATTGTTACACACACACAGTTAATTTATGAATCTCTGCTATTAAGGATTCTCCTAAAACACATTTTAAAATAAACTAATTTAGAGCAGTTTTAGATTAACAGAATTATTGCAGAGATAGTACAGAGAGTTGCAGTATTCTCCATACCCAGTTCCCCCTATTATTAACATCTTAGGTTAGTATAGTACGTTTGTACAATTAATGCACCGACATTGATACATCATTAACTAAAGTTTATACTTTTATTCAGATTTCCAGTCTTCCCTTAATGTCCTTCTTTCTGTTCCAGGATCTTATCCAGGGTACCATGTTGCATTTAATGGCCATATCTCCTTAGGCTCTTCTTCTTGATTGTGATAGTTTCTCAGACTTCCCATGTTTTTGATGACCTTAACGGGCTGCTAACCAAAAGGTCAGCAGTTCAAATCCGCCAGGCGCTCCTCGGAAACCCTATGGGGCAGTTCTTCTCTGTCCTGTAGGGTTGCTATGAGTCGGAATAGACTCGACGGCAGCGGGGTTTTTTTTTTGGTTTGTTTGTTTTAGTCAGGTATTTTGTAGAATGTCTCTCAATTGAGATTTGTCTGATGTTTTCTCAAAGACAAGACTGAGGTTATGAGTTTTTAGGAGGAAGACCACAGAGGTAAAGTACCAGTCTCATCACATCATCTCAAAGATAACCCAAACTCAGGGCCATCGAGTCAATTCTGACTCATAGTGACCCTATAGGAAAGAGTAGAACTGTCTCATAAGGTTTCTAAGGTTGTAAATCTTTACGGAAGCAGGCTGCCACATCTTTCTCCCATGGAGCGGCTGGTGGGTTTGAACTACTGACCTTTCTGTTAGCAGTTGAACGCATTAACCACTGTGCCATCAGGTTTCCATATATCAACGATATGTGCTATCAGTCTGACTTTTCACTTGGGGCTGGCAGTAGTGTTTATCAGATTTTTCCACTGTAAAGTTACTCTTTTTTTATTTCTCCCTTCCATACTGTAATTTGGAAGAAAATCACTATGTGCAGCCTACACCTAAAGAGTAGGGAGTTATGTTCCACCTCCTTAAGGTTCCAAGTATCTACGTAAATTGTTTGGAATTCTTCTGTACAGATTAGTCCATTCCCCCCCTTATTTATTTATTAAATCATTTATTTATATCAGTATTGACTTAATATTTATTTTATACTTTATAATCCAATACTATTTTATTATTGTATTGTTCAAATTGTTCCAGCTTGGGCCATTAGGAGCTCTTTCAGTTGACTCTTGTGTCTTTTGGACATACCCCCATCATTGTGCGTTTTGTTGTTGTTGTTGGGCATTTTCTTTCTGGCATTGCAAGATGCTCCAGGCTTATCTTGTATATTTCCTGCCTTAGTCCTAGAATCTACCATTTCTCCAAGGAGCCCTGGTTCCTTTTATTGGAGAATGGTATTAGAAACCAAGATGTGAGCACTCTGAGTGCTCCTTGCTAGGATATCATTGCTTCTAGGCCCTCTCAACTGACAGAACAAGGTGATATACGTGTATATACTAACCTGTGTATACACACATATCCATAAAAAATTTTTATATGTAGTCACCTATATATTAAGTGAACCATGAGTTCATATTAATATTTTCAACTCTAATGCATTACCACATGGATCATTGTAGCCTCTTCCCCTTGTTTAGCTGTAACGTTCCACTCCAACAGTGAGAAACTTGGCCCCCACCATCTGCCGTTCATTTATGTAATTGTTCAATTCCAGTATACATTTTTAGTGGTTTCAGAATTATTAACCAGTATCCCTGTAAGAAACAACTTTATCAACTAGAATATAGTGCTTATATACAGCTACTTTGCCTTTAGTCTTACAGATTCCATTCGTTTCCAGAGTTACTTAGATGATTATATCTTATTCCTCTACTCCTTTCAGGGAAGTTGTTTCATACATTTGTAATACAGTTAGATTCTTCTGTCACTTTTTGCATTCCATCATGGGATCTTCTGAACTCCTCAATTATTTTTTTTAATTTGCATATATTAATATTTACTCTTCATGCTGTAAAGTTCTTTGGCTTTCAAAAAATATCTTAATGTCTTATGGTCACCATTACAGTATCATACAGAATAGTCTCACCAACCAACAAAATCCTCTGTAGTTTGCCTGTTCAGCTACTGACACTGATCTGTTTACTGTCTCTATAGTTTTACCTTTTTCAGAATGACATAATTGGAATCATACAGTATGTAGCCTTTTCAGACTAGCGTCTTTAACTTAGTAATATACATTCATGATTCATCCATGTCTTTTCTTGGCTTGATAGCTCATTTCTTTTTATCACTGAATAATATTGCATCGTATGGATGTACCACTGTTTATTCATTTGTCTATTGAAGGACATCACAGTTGCCTTCAGTTTTTGGTGATCGTGAATAAAGCTGCTATCAGTATTCGCATGCAAGTTTTGTGTGAACATAAGTTTTGAAATCCATTAAGTAAATACCTAGGAACACAATTGTGGGATCATATGATACAACTTTATTTAGTTTTATAAGAAATGGCCAAACTGTATTCCAAAGTGCCTGTACCATTTTGCATTTCCAACAGTAGCCAATTATAGTTTCTGTTGCCTGCTTCCTCGTCAGCATTTAGTATTGTCAGTTCTTTTGGATTTTAGCCGTTCTAATAGATATGTATAGTGGTATTTCATTGTTGTTTTAATTTGCAATTACCTAATGACATATAATGTTTAACATCTTTTGTATGCTTATTTTCCATCTGTATATCTTTGATGAGGTGTCTGTTCAGATCCTTTGCCTGTTTTTTGAGTTGTTTGTTTTCTTATTGTTGAATTTGAAGAGTTCTTTGGACATTTTGTATGTAAATCCTTTAGCAGATACGTGTTTTGCAAGTGTTTTCTCCTATTCTGTGGCTTGTCATTTCTTTCTCTTAACAGTGACTTTCACAGATAAAATACATTTTTAGTTGTTAGAAAGAAAAAAAAGTTTGTTTATGGATCCAAGATGTTTTAAAACATCCTCCCCAAAGACGTGAGGATGAATCAGAATGCCATTTAAGCTCTATTTATTCCCTTCTTTACCGTAAATATTTTATTGTGTTTTTAATGGAAACCTTTCGGTATATTCTGTTCCATGGTTAATATGTGCCTTTGTTTTTTGCAGTCTCTTCATCATGAACTGTCTTTATACATTCAGCAACTAAAAATAGATATTGAAAAAGGAAAACTTAATGAGATTATTTCAAAACTTGAAAAACAAATAAATAAAGAAAAGAAACTAATTCGTAGAGGAAGGACCAAGGGTCTCATCAAGGAACATGAGGTAAAATAATCTGTTTCCATTTAAATTTTGTCATTTTGTTGTTTATCTTAAATTGCCATGTATGTCCTTAGCCAGGTTTAAATATGCTCTGAAAATTACTTCAGCCCTCTCACTCTCTGTGGAGATTATGGCTTATGCAGTTCAAGTCTTAGCCAGAGCCTGTGCTGCTTTCTGTTTGAGAAATGAGAAAAATTCAGCATTGGGTTAGTATTTTATGATTTCCCTGGATATGTTCCTGTCCTTTAGACTCTGGTTACAAATGTGTCGACTATTGCTGAAGCCCCTATAGTTGCTTTTGTCAGGACAAAATGTTCTTAGAAGTGTGGCCTTTATGAAAGATAGCAAATTGGGGTATAAGGACCAAACCAGTTTGAGCAAATCTAATGAGCTCTTTTTGTCCTCATCCTATTTGATTGCTTTTATGCGTTTGACATTACTGACCACTCTTCATTTTTTAATATTTTAACTTCTCCAACCTTGGCTCTCCCAATATCAGTCTTTCTTGCTTCTCCTTATATTTTTTCAGTTCTTTTTTAGTATCCTTCACAAATTTCCCCATTCTATTCTGTTATCTTAATGTTTTAGCTTTCTTTAACTCTACTGTTGGCTAATTTTATGCTTCCTCTAGGGGATGTTATCCACTCCAGGGTTTAACTTCTCCCTCTACAGTGATAAGGAGTCTCTGGGTGAAAGGTTGGTGGTTCTAACCCACGCGAAGGTGCTTCAGAAGAAAGGCCTGGCACTCTGCTTCCAAAAGGTCGCAGCCTTGAAAACCCTATGGAACAATTCTACTCTGCACACATGGGGTTGTCATTAGTTGGAATCAACTCGACAGCAGCTGACAACTACAGTGATAGCACCTAGATCTTTATCTCCAGCTGAGTCCTTTTCCTTGAGCTCCATGTTCTAACTGACTAGTAGATATCACTGGCGTTCCTCAGAGACCTCAAACTCAGCATGTCCAAAATTGAAACAATGATATTTTCTCTCATACTTCCTTTTATATTCTGCATCTTGGCTATGAAAGGTGTTGCTGTCTCAATAGTTCTCTTCTTCCCCGTTTCTTCCCACTCTGCCTTCATTGAATCAGTTGCCAAGTCCTGTTTGTTACTCTTCAGAATGGCTTCTGAATCTTTTTCTTTCTTTCCATCCATATTGCCACTTAACTTGTTGTTCGTTCCCCTCAAGTTAGCCCTCAACTCATGGCAATCCCATGCACAACGGGATTGAACTGTTGTGATCTATTGGGTTTTCATTGGTTGCTTTTTTGGAAGTAAATCATCAGGCCTTTTTTCCTGCACTTGAAGCTCCACTGAAACCTGTTCAGCATCATAGCAACATGCAAGCCTCCATTAACAGACAGGTTGTGCCTGCACTTGAGTTGTATCAGCTAAGAATTGCACCTAGGTCTCCCTCATGGAAGGTGAGAATTCTACCGCAGAACTACCACTTCCTCCTCCGGTTACGTTAGCCTGAGTTATGTCAGTATTCTCCACTCACTCCCTGTTGTTGTGTCATCTTCAGTCCCACCACCAGGGTTACCTTTCTGAACCACAGATCTTATGTCACTGGTTCACTGTTACCCCAGGACAATCTTCAAACTCCTTATAAGGCCACAGAGTTCCTTCACAGTCTGGCCCCAGAACACCTCATTAGCCTCCCTTCTGTGCCCGGCACTCCAGCCACACTTGTCCTTTCACAATACCTGGTGCTTTTTTATCTACATCCTGCTCCTTCTGCTAGGAATGGACTTCTTTTCACTTGGAGAACTCCTCATTCTCTCTGCCCTGGGCTCAGATGGTTTCCTCTTGTGAAATAAGCTTTCACTGACTTCTTCAGGCAGGGGAGTGACTCCATCACAACATTTACCACATTATATTCTGATTATTTGTGTGCCTACATTGCTGGACTGGGAATTCCTTTAGGGCTAATTTCCTCGTCTTTGTATCACCAGTGCCTGTTACCATACCAGGCACCCCGTGGGTAACCTATAAAATAGCATGTTGTTAAAGTCACAGACATCTGTAAGTTTGTAATACTTATGGAATAATCATGTACACTCATTTGAAACACATTTCTGGCTTTATTTCTTCAATTAGGCTTGCTTTTCTGAGGAAGGCAATCTGTACCAGCTTGATCACCACATAGAAGTCCTGAGGGAGCTATGTGAAGAACTGACTTCACAGAAGAGTCAACAAGAAATGAAGAGAGTACTTAAAGATTATGAACAAAGGATAGAAAGACTCAGGAAATCTGCTTCCGAGATTCATATGACCCTGCAACCCGTGGTGGGAGGCATGTCTAAAAAAAAGTTAGTACTTCAGAAGAGTGCTTACTTCTTCAGGGAAAAACTAGATAAAGCCTTTTGCAAAACTAGATAGCATAAGTGTTACTTATTCTCTTTTAGGTTTCATTTTCCCCCTCTATTTTAATATGAACTTTTGGTTCCTTCCAGGGGGACCATGAACACATCTGAGAATGGAGGAAGAGATGTCCACAGTGAGGTGCCATTTGCAAAATCAGATAATCAGCCATCAACTGAAAAGGTGTTATATGTGGCTAATGTATTTTAGAAGTAAACCCAATGAAAAGGCCAACTACACAATAATCCATTTCTTATTAATTAAGTGTTGATTTTAATTTTCTGATTGTTTTCATTAACTGACCATTCCCACATAACAAATGCAAGGATGACAGCTTTTCAAAAATTAGAATGCAGTGAACCAAAGCTATAGCGAGCCTACTTAATCTTTCTCTGATGATACAAAATGTTCTTACAAAAATAGACCATTTTGAACCATTATGAATACATGTTGTCTATGTATATTACTATTGAGGGTATAAGAGGTTCTGCTTAATCTGTACTGATGCCTCAGCTTTATTGAGATGTACTGGTCCATTTATCATTTGTCTTTTTCTCATTAGAATGTGTTTTACCTTCCCTGGAAATTGAGATTTCCAGATTCTTGTATTCTAAATAAGTGGACATTTACTGTGTATCATAGCCAGTCAGAATGTGTGGAGAAGGAATGAGACGTATTTGTTTTCAGCAGTCAACTTGTCTGTGTGTTAAGCTTATGTCTACTTTTAACAATGAGTATGTGGTCATAGGCAACAGCAGGCTGTAGGGGCTGGTAGTATTTCTTTACTGTGTTGCATACTAATTGGAAGGTGAGAGACCCAGTCTAATAAATCCCTCTCTGCTATGGGAGGGCCTTTTTTTGAGCTGAGAAACCTCAAAGAAACTCATATCTCCTGGTTTGGGGTATAAAAAAATTAACGGTATATCTTTGTAACGTAGAGTGATTGTCTTTTCTAAATAACTAAACATACTAAAGATAACATGTTTACTATTTTGCGTGTTTGCTTAGGCAATGGAACCGATTAAGAATTTTAGCCTGGAATCAGAGTTAAAGCCTCAACATGAAGCAAGCATTATGGAGGAGTGTGAAAAGGATTACAATGCATCAATAAATAGTTTACTAGAGAGGTAAATTCTTTTAAGCAACTGGAAAATCTAACAAAAACCTTTCAGCAGTACTAAAGTATACTTTAATAAGTTTTTATTATTTTTTAGTAGTAATTTTTGCATGTAGTCCATTAACTTAAAAAAGAATTTTCATGGGAGTTCCTCATGCATAATGGATGGTAATTTTTAAAGTATTTTTTGTCTTATTTTTAAAATTAAGCACCGTTGCATTAATTTTTTTGCAGGTATGATACACATGGAGAGATTCTTGAACTACACCTGCAAAACAACAAATTCAGGATTACTTCTGATTTCTCTAGTGACAAAGAAATGAGTAGTGATTGTCTGCAGGATAAACTGGCAGATCTACAGGTAATTCCTGAAAATATGATTTCTCTAGTTGTCTCTGTTACTAGAAAATAATACCACCATGAGTATAGACTTGACTATTTTTGTTGAGGTCACATGTGCTGTGTTTCTGAAGAACTGTCCTTGTTGGATTGCGTTTCTGATGTCACCTTATTTCAGAAAGTCATTTGCATTCAACTACAAAATCCAGGAAAGACTGTTTGAGGGTCCTAATTTATTGCTCAAGCTCTAATCTGATACTCCAGATGTTGTGGCTTGCAGAATTTTTAATTGTGCTTGTGGTGGGGATGAAGATTTCAGATCATTTGGTTAAAAACAATGTGCTTGAAGGCAATTTCAACCAATGCTGTTCCTGTTTCGGTGTTCCTGAATTAGCAACACAGGAAGAACCAATGACTTCAGATATTTATTTCAGTCCTTCATCATATTGACCAAACTGTGACTTTGTCTAAAAGTACTGTTTACCAGTTGTTGGCTGCCAGATGTTGGGCAATGAGGAAGGAGCAGGCAGTGGAAGGGGTTTTCATTTTATGTGATGGCTGATTTTCCTGGAGAACCTTCAGAGAAGGTATTGAACTTGACTCAGGAGCTACAGAAAAAACAATCTCTCTGATGGTGGGAACAGAAATTATAAGAGCTACAAGTAATATCTTCCTTATTTTGAAGGTTATCTTTGCATTGCAGTGCATCCTTCTTGTTCTCCATCAGGTGGAAAAAGGGCCATGGGCGGTTCCTATAATCGCCTCATGTGTTTTCTAGTTTCTTTCTTTTTTTATGATAGTTCCTGAGTCACATGCTACCACCTAGTTCTTGTCTATTTTCCATCTGAATTAGCCAAATTCATGTATTAAAATCTCAGTTGTTCAAGTGGTGGATTTAGCATGTTTTTACCATAATTAAGAAACTGTCTTGAGACCTTACACCAGTGGCTGAATAATGAATTGGTTAGAAAAAGCTATATTAATCTTTGGGGGAAGTGAAGAGTAAATTATACTGATGAGCACTCAGTAGCACCTTTTTTTTTTAAAAGAGAACCAAGGTAAGTATAGTATAGAATTGTAGATGTTTAATTATAAATTAATGTCATTCACTTTTCATTTATATAGAAGCGGTTTTGGTTCACTCCAATTTTCTTATAGTTTAGAGGGTAACCAGGTTTACTATTTAGGAGAAATAGAATATGTATTCTTATATCTTTATCTTTCTGAATTGCATTCTGTGTATCTAACAGGGGAAGGGAGGGAGTTTGGATACCTTTGAAAGCCATATTGATGACTCCTTTGTCTTCATTGAAGGGGTCCTTTGAGAGCACAATTAATATAATTGTTCCCTGAAGGAGAGTTCACTTGTCGATGGTTGGAAAAATTTTTTTATGAATTTTATTTGATACTTTGTTCCCACAGTTGATGAATGTCTCATAACAAAATAATAATTGTACCTGGTAACCCATTAGTTGATAAATTATGCATTTCATCTAGGTCTTAAAAGATGAAACTGATGCTTGCTGGAAAGAATTTGAAATCACTTCACTAAAGTTAGAAAATCTTGTGAGTGACATAAAGAAGCCAGTTATAGCTAAGGCAAGAGACATATTAAGGGGAAAAGAAAGAGATCTTCAGATGACCCTCAATGCCAGGTATAATTCTAAAATCTATTAATCACGCATTTACTGAATTTATTCAATGCCATTTTAAGCTAGGCCAATACTATGGTAAGTATGTTCTTTATTTGATCTCCACAACAACCCTAAGAGAGGTTACCGCTATGATGGTTATTTGCAGATAAGGAAACTGATGCTCAGAGAGGTTAAATAACATAACCAAACCATACTACTAGCCAGAGACTTAAGTGGAATTTAAGATCTGTGGAGTTCTAAAACCCGTTCTCTTCCCACTGTCTTCCCTTGGGCATGAGTTTGGCCATGTCATATAACCTCTTTGGGCTTTGGTTTCCTAATTTCTAAAATGAGGATGCTATTGTTTTCCCTCGTACATATACCCATTTTACAGAGGAAGAAACGAAGACTATGTCTTACTTATACAGAGTCACACATTTTATTTTATAATCAGTAGACCCTATGGTTTGAGACTTGTTATGTTTCCATTAATAAAAGAGTTAGTATTCATAATGAGGTTTCTTCGTCATTAAGGCAAAGTTAAATTACACTGAGTATTTTGTACTTCAAAAGACAGAGAAAGGCCTAGTATATTTTAGAACAATTTTCCACTCAATCTGTTGAACTATTAAGAACCCTTGGGTATAGCCAACAACTCATTCTTTGGCATTTTAGATTGCTGAGTTAGAGTTTTAATGTGATGATCTGTATATAGAATCACTGTATGTATTTTTATTGGATAGAATTTTATGTTTATGGTTAAATAATGCCATTGTGCAATGCCTTTCCTTTATGTCTGGTTTATTTTTCACTCAGAATGAAGTCTTTAGAGACTGCACTGCAGATTGTTTTACCAGTGGAGAAGGAATCACTTTTTCTCTGTAACTCGGACCTACTCCTTCATGAAATAGCTGTTCAGGAATTTCATCTGATTGATGCTGATAGCATTTATCGAAACCTGAAGGTAACTATAAGTTCTAATAGCATATTTACAGAACAGTCATGTGAATTTTTAACTATGTATCAAGGGTGTATCTGTAGAATATAAGGCCATGACAGTAAAGTCTTCAATAAGACTCCATATTAGACTTCAATAGACTTGTTATTTATTTCACAACTCTTTAATTCCCTGCAAATTTGGCACTAAGTATCCTGGAGTAAACAATGAGTTATTTTCTTTGAATTCAGAGTGAAGCCTTGCTTATAAATACCTTCTACAATACCGGAATTCCTAAATATCTTACTAGACTCATGGTTAGATTGGCAAAATTATTCTATAGTTTACTTATTCCACATCTCATCTTAAATAAAAAATACTAGGATTTTTCAGGTTGTAAAACAGATCTTTCCACAGTTAAGTCTCTAGTTATTTGCCTTGAAGCAATAGGATTATATATGTGTTTTCCTTTTGGGATTGATTGAGACCTCCAAAAGGGTATTAGATAATGAAACAGCTGGGCAGGCTGATCATTTGTAATTAAAACGTTTCTTCTGTCAAAGCTGTCAGCCTCGGTGAAACTCAGGAGCATTTTCCAGTTCAGTCCTAGTCATGTAACTTGGGGTTAGTTTCTGGTGCAGCCTAGCTTTTTTCTGCTCAGTCTTTTCAACTTTTCTTACATTTATTTTAGAATATCCAAGATTCCATAGCAAAACAGATTGAAATATGTAACAATTTGGAAAAAGCAGGCAATTTTGCCCTAAAGGAATTACATCCATTTGACCTACATGCAACTCAGAATATTATACTGAAATGCAAAGCACAACTTGAAGAAATGAACCACAAGGTTCAGAGGAGTGAAGACACTCTCAAAAACCTGGAAGATTTTTTGGCTTCTCTAAGAACAGCCGAACTCTCTATTGAGCCTGTGACAGATCTTTCAGCCTCAGATACACAGGTGTTACCAGAAAATACTTTGACAATAGAAAATGAAGAGGGAAGAATTCATCTGATGAAAGACAAGGCCAGATGTTTGGATAAACATTTGAAGATGCTTGATATAAGCTTTAAAGATGCTGAATGGGGTGAAGACAGCTCCTGTGAAAAACTTATTGATGTTTTGTCAACGAAATTTGGTGTACATGAGGAAAACAAATTACTAGAGATTTGCCTTTTCAAAAATAATGAACTCCTTAAAAATATTCAAGATGTGCAGAATCAAATTAGCAAAATCGGTCTTAAGGATCCAACTATTCCAGCTATAAAACAAAGGTAAATATTGTTCCTATCCATCTCTATCCAGTCCATCTGCATTTTCAGCTATGTATTAGGTGAAATAAATACTTTCTATGTCTTTCTATTTCTATTTCATCCCACTCTATTCAGTGCTCAGCATCCTTTTCTGTAGAAAGACTTTTCAAGCAAGCTTCTTTTTTGTTATTATGCCTTTACAAAATGTTTTATAATTCTTTTCTCTTTAAAGTGTGCATTCTCAATGAACAAAGGTAAAGTAAGATACATATAAAGCACATGCATTACTTCAAAATCCTTTGTACTGCTGTGTTTAGTATCGAGTTCTCATGATAGAGGAAGAGCTGGGAAACACCATACATTTGACACTAAAGAAAGTGGTGGAAGAGGCACTTGCCACATCTTGTCTCTGCTTCTTAATTATTTGGTCTTCTCCTCTCCTCCCAGAAGGATTGGGATGGGGATTAAGTGGGAGGGCATGGAACTGAACTTAATAGGTAATGTAAGGTTAATCTTCTGGAAACTGAGCAGAATCGGGTAAACTGAGGTTGGGCAGCATTGTGTGTGAGTGCTGCTATTTTAATTCCAGGTCCTGAAAACTAAACTGTCAGCAAGCGTCACTTTTCTGCAACTCCTTCTCCCCTTTCTAAATCTCTTTCCCACTTTCTGTCTCTTCCTTTGCCCACTTCTAGTCCCTCAAGCTTAGTGGTCTCTTGAGACTCTTGAGCTGTCCAAGTCCATTGACGTAGTTAAATTGTGCCCTTCCCTCTAACTCTTCTCTGTGCCCTCAGTCTTTTTTTTTTTAACTCCTTTTAAAAAACTTTAAATAATTGTAGATTTACAGAAAATTTGCAGAGATAGTTCTTTGTGTCCTGTCTTAAACTTTCATTCCTAAAGTGCTCCAGTTCTTAATGAGGTATTGAACTAATTATTATTAATTTAATCTTAGTAAATTTTAATTATAGATTTATAAATAATAAGTAGTAAATTATATGTAAATTTATAAGTGAAAGACTATAAGTTTGTAAATAATAAAATAATTTAATTATTAATCTAGGTATTAATAGAGCGAGTATGTATCGACTGCCTACTTTGTGCCAGGCACTCTTTTAGGTACTGCAGATCAACAGTTAACAAAATAGAAAAAAATTCTTGCCCTCCTGAAGCTTACAATCTAGTGAGGAGAGTAAGGTATTTAGTATATTTGATGTTGAGAACAGGGGCCTTGGTGGTGCAATGGTTAAAGTGCTCGGCTACAAACCGAAAGGTGAGCGGTTCGAGCCCACCAGCCACTCCAAGGGAGAAAGATGTGGCAGTCTGCTTCCATAAAGATTTACAGCCTTG